GGTTCCTTCACCAACATTTCATTTTATGCCACTGACAGAGGCTATTTTAGTTGTTCTATTTCCTCCGTGGCAGGGATGGGCTTTTGATTGTAGAACTACATGGCTAAAAATATCTTTGTGGTCTTCACACTTGATTGGACCCTTTGGATGACTTAACTTTTGGGATGGAGATCAGTTTCCCTCAGAATTTTGAGAGCATGACTCTGTGTATCCAATAATGCTAGTGAATAGGAGGGTGCTTTCCTTATTTCTCATTTGTACATGATTTTATCTCTAGAGCTTCAGAACCTTCTCTTTATCCCTGATCCTGTGAAATTTCAAGATGATACGCCACAGTGTGGGGCATTTTTCATTCACTAGGTCAGATACCTGCTAATCTAAGACACCAGGGTCCTTTAGTCTGATGTTTTTCTTGTATTCCTTCTTTGATCACACTGTCCTTTTTGTTTCTGTTCTCTTTTGGGAACTCCTATTACTATAACTTTAGATGGATTGCTCCTTTCCATTTTTTATCTCTTCTCTCATACTTACTGTTCTTTATTCTATTCTGTTCTATTTTCTGGGAGATTTCTTATCTTTAACTCTTTTATTTTTTTTAAATGTTGACAACCATAGTTTTAATTTCCAGGAGCTCTTGTTTATTTTCTGATCTTTTCTCATGACCTCCTGTGCTACTGTATGAATGCAAGATCTCATATCTCACATAGAGTTTACAAAGTTATATTCTACTCCTATTGGCTACATTTTTAATTTTCATACTGGAGGCTTTCCTCATTGGTTTTAGAAATCCTTAGTTGTCTGCTTTAAAAGGTTTTTTGGGGGGATGCCTGGGTGGCTCAGCGGTTGAGCATCTGCCTTTGGCTCAGGGCATGATCCCAGAGTACTGGGATCAAGTCCCGCATTGGGCTTCCTGCATGGAGCCTGCTTCTCCCTCTATGTCTCTGCCCCCCTCTCTCTCTCTCATGAATAAATTTTAAAAATCTTAAAAAAAAAAAAAAAAGTGGGGCAGCCCGGTGGCTCAGTGGTTTAGCACTGCCTTCAGCCCAGGGCAGGATCCTGGAGACCTGGGATCGAGTCCCATACGTTGGGCTCCCTGCATGGAGCCTGCTTCTCCCTCTGCCTGTGTCTCTGCCTCTCTCTTTCTGTCTCTGTCTGTGTCTCTCATGAATAAATAAATAAAATCTTTAAAAATAAATAAATAAAAATAAATAAAGTTTTTAAAAAATACAGTATTTTTTAAATGTGCACCAAAATAGTAACAAGCTTCCCCATGCACCCATCATCTGGCTTCAATAATTAAAAAAAAAAAAAAAAAGTTGGCAAAATACTGATAATCTATTTATTTTCCCCTCCACATATACCTCTCCAAGGCTTGGGGTTTTGTTACGTTGGGGTTTTTTGTTTTGTTTTGTTTCTGGGTGTTTTGGGGTGTGTGTGTGTGTGTGTGTGTATCTCCTGTTTTTTAAACGTTCAGCACTAACGAGGAATGTTGTGCACACGGTTAAGCCTTGCTTACTGGAAGACATCACTTGTGGGTGATTCACTAGGACAGCAGACCTTTTCCTTAAATGAACCCCAATGTCTGTACCTGGAGATCTTTTTTACAGTCATTCAGTTTCTTCAGAAAATAAAATACAGTCTTTTGCCTGGGCAGCCAGTATCTGAGCACAGATGTGTACACCAGCAAAGGGGAAGACAGTTCTTTTTATTAACTTTCAGCCTATGCCCCTCTTGCCATGCATCCACACCACACCTCATGCTTCGAATTCCCAGGTCTCTCCAAGGGGTGACTCATCTCTCTTCCTCTTGGATTTCCCCTAAATATATATGCACTTCAAGTCTAGGCTTGCCCCACACTGAAAGACAGGAAGGGACACTATCTCCATCTTCTGAAGACGAGGAACAAGACATGCAGCCTAGAGCTGAGGAACAAGAAATAGAGGTTTCACTGCAAGTTACAAAGATAACCAAAAGAGGAATTAAAATGAATAAATATATTATGAGGAAGAAAAGAGGAAGGATTAGACCAAATCCTCATCTATCTCAGAGAGGAAAAAAAATATATATGGAGTTCACAAATAAAAAAACAGTAATAAGCTTTTTACTTAGCGAAATGAAGACAACCAGTAGAAGAATGAAAACCGGAAACCATTAAAGTGAGTACATATGAGAACAACCTGTGGCCAGCATGAGGGGCTCTCACTTTCCATGATGAACCTAGAGGTGCAGAACACCTGGATGGCTCAGCAGTTGAGCGTCTGCCTTTGACTCAGGGCATGATCCCAATCCCAGGATCGGGTGCCGCATCAGGCTCCCTCCTTAGAACCTGCTTCTCCCTCTGCCTGTGTCTCTACCTCTCTCTGTGTGTCTCTCATGAATAAATAAATAAAATAAAATCTTTAAAAAAAAAAAAAAAAACCTAGATGTGCTACCTAAAGCTCTAGTCCATGTTTGTGGATTTCTTTGATAGTTTTTTCTTTTAACTTAAAAGCACGTAAGAGAAAGGGGAAATTCTTCAATGTATTCCCACTATACTTAGGATAAAGACCTGAATCATTTAGCCAGCTGGTAAATTTGTTAAAAACAACAAGGGGCACCTGGGTGGTTGAGCATCTGCCTTTGGCTCAAGTTGTGATCTCAGGGTCCCGGGACAGAGTCCCACATCAGGCTCTCCAGAGGGAGCCTGCTTCTCCCTCTGCCTGTGTCTCTGCCTCTCTGTGTGTGTCTCTCATGAATAAATAACGTCTTTAAAAAACAACAAGCTTTTCTGACAATTAGGAATATTCAAATGTTCAAATAGTACAATCTCTAGCAGACCAAAGACTCATTGTAGCTGGAACATTTTGTTAAAGAAGATGATTAAACTGTGAAAACTAGATAGAAAAAGAAGAGAATGTACCTTACAATACTAGACACCTGACTGATGGCTGGCTGGCTGATAAACTACCCAGCACAAATTTAAACCCTACTAAAATGTATTCAAAAATTACTTCAGTATTTATTTTTTTCCCAGGAATGCGAATTTCTTCCCAGAAGGAGGCTGTAAATTACATCACTAAAAAAGGTTTTGTCACATATTGGCTTGGGGCAATTTCTTCTTTTATAGGCCTCTACAAATACTATCTAGACCAGCACTGTCCAACATAACTTGATCTTCAACAATGGAAATGGTCTAGATCTCTGATGTTCAATACAAATCCAATCATATCTGTGCATAATTATACCTGACCATGGAAAAAATAAGTACCTCAAATGCATGCATTTGCACTGGTGATTCCAACTGCACAAATCTTTGTGCCATCTATGTATATATGTACTTTTTACATGGATTGACATGCACAGACACCATTTTCATTCAGTATGAGCCTTGAGGCTGCTGCCATTCTCCCTCTTAACCAAACCAATGCCTATGTAAACAGCCTGGAGGTAATCCTTGAAAAATTGTTTCATAAGTCTTTCAAAAGTTGTTTTGCATAAATGTTAAAATTTCAAAATGCTGCAGGGTAATTTAATGTATAAAATATTAGAAGTATGTACTGCATACTTAATAGATCATAATGTATAAATTCTATTCAGTGCATGCTTTAGGTTTTAAGCATGAGATTGTATACGTTTACTGTAAGTCCTTGCATCTGTGGTGCTACGTGAGTGTGAGAAGGTGTCAAGGACTGAAAATATTTTGTTGCCTAAAAAAAAAAAAAAAAGCCTGTTTGTAGGTATTTTCAATATGCTTATTTTAAGTGTCTCTCACTACCTATTACACACCATTGTTTTGTGAGTTTGTTTTGTGTGTGTGTGTGTGTGTGTATGTGTTGTACAGTAGTTAAATCTCCATGCAGAAAAATAAATGTCCTGAATTCCCATATTGGTATTCTTTATTGGTTAATGTATATCAGGCATGTAACTTATTCAGAAGTATAGAAGATGTTTCTAAATGTAAATGTGTTTTTTTTTTAAGGATTATATTAAGGTTTCTTTAATTAGATGCTGATTGTTTAGGCATAACTGTAACTTAAGAATGAACGTTAAATAAAATATACAGGTTTATTTTCTTATAGAAAAAAAAAAAAAACAAATCCAGTCATATGTGGCTACTGAGCCCCTAAAGCATGGCTAGTGTGAATGAGCAACTAAAGTTTTAATTTTATTTAATTCTAATTTAAATTTAAATAGCCGTATGTGGCTATGGGCTACACTGCAGTAGACAAGTGCAATTCTAGACTACCATGGTTCCTCCTCTCTTACACCAAGCTCTCCCCTCTGCATTCCAGCCACCCAGGCCCATTGTCATTTCCTAAAATACACATGCTTGCTCCTGCCACAGAGCCTTTGCACCTATGGTCTCTTCCTCCTAGAATATTCGATTCTCCCCCACTCCCCAACTTCTTCATCTGGTTAACTACTACTTTTCCTTCTCTACTTAAAATTATCCACTTACTTGTTCACTTGTTCATGGTTAATTTTTTATCACTCGACCACTACCAGCCCAACCCACCCACTAGGCAGAACACAAGCTCCATTAGAGCAAGGATCCTGCTCACCTTGCCCATCAGTGTAGTCCTACCACCTAAAGGCAACACAGCCTGACTCACAGTAGGCATTCAGCTAGTATCCAATGAATGAATGCATTCACACGATTTTAATCGTCTTCACTATCAGAGACTCCCAATGTGTACAATAGCCCCAATCTTGCCACTGCATTTTAGCTCCATGTTTCCAACAAGCCCCACAAGCATTTCTACTTAAAAACCCCACTGCCTACACATCAACTATTATTATCTGCACTCTGTTGCCAGATTAACCTTCAGAAAGCTTGGCTCTATCTGTGTCATACAACACCAAACAAAACCTTCAAAGAAATCCAAAAGAATAACCAATTCTGAGGCAAAAGTAAACACACTGTACATACTCCAACTTTTTCAGGTCCTTTGTAAACCAATACAAAAAGAAGCCCAATGGAAATTTCTTGCAACACCACAAAATGAGAAAGTGAATCTCACCACAAGCTCAAAAATGTCCATGAAGACAGAATGTCCCTTAGGTGTTTTCTCATTCAGACTGGCAGGGGACCAGATCCAGTAGAAGTAAGTACCATCTGAAGAAAGGTGCACAGTGCTCAGGGTGCTGCCAACAGGGAGATGATTGGCTGGCATTGGGACCATCTGGCACACCTGGACATGAGAGGGAAGAAAGTTTCATTAGTGCAACATATAACTTCCGATGAATTCTATCAGTTCCTCACCGATACTATTATTCCAAAATCAGAATTCAATAGGTTTCCTGGTCAAAATAAAATAGGTATTTCTAACAGTGAAAATTACAGGACAAAAACATAAAAATTCTACAATGGGCCATGTGACAGATAAAAACAGGCCAAAAGCATCTGGATCTGTTAAGCATGTGTGTTTTATCAAACATTTATTTAAAACAATGCTTTAGGGCAGTCTGGGTGGCTCAGCAGTTTAGTGCCGCCTTCAGCCCAGGGCATGATCCTGGAGACTGGGGATCAAGTCCCATGTCGGGCTCCCTGCATGGAGCCTGCTTCTCCCTCTGCCTGTGTCTCTACATCTCTGTCTCTGTTTCTCATGAATAAATAAATAAAATCTTTAAAAACAGGGGATCCCTGGGTGGCACAGCGGTTTAGCGCCTGCCTTTGGCCCAGGGCGCAATCCTGGAGACCGGGGATTGAATCCCACGTCGGGCTTCCGGTGCGTGGAGCCTGCTTCTCCCTCTGCCTGTGTCTCTGCCTCTCTCTCTCTCTCTGTGTGACTATCATAAATAAATAAATTAATTAATTAATTAAAAAAAATTTTAAAAAATCTTTAAAAACAAAACAAAACAAAAAACGCTTTAGAGAAACAGTACTTGCTAAAATTTCCTTAGTAACTTTTCCTTAGTAAGAATTTCAGACAATTAGTTATATTTAAAAGGGCAGGGATCATCTCATATTTACTTTTATATCCCAACACCTAATTCTGAGTCTAACTCAAAGTTATTTAATAAATGTGGAATGAAAAATAAAATAAAATAAAATAAAATAAAATAAATGTGGAATGAAGTGGAAAATGGGCAGAAGGAAGACAACAAGGGAGGCAGAGAAAGGAGTGAAGGGGAAAGAAGAAAGTGAACAAGCAAAGGCACATACAAGACCCTCACCCAGCACATGTGGGCTTACTGAGATGAACAATGTCCATCAGGAGGAAAAAGACAAAACACCTAACCTCTGTATCAGGCATGAAGCCATGTTTCTAATACTAACCATCTTTTGGTTTCAGTGTAACAAAGGAGCTTTGCAACATTTCACATTGAACGTGTAATTACATACTCATTTTCACTGCCAGAGAAAAGCCCTTAAAAAAATGAGAGAAAATGGGGACCCAAAAAACTGCTAACTAGGTTTTTCAAAAATGCTGAGGGTAGGAGCAGAACTGAAAATCCCCAAATAAAAATAAATAGAGAAGGTCAGATGCCTTCGGGAACAGTAAGAACCACTTTCAGTTACTCCATCTCTTGGAGTGAGTCACTCGTATTCCTAAGGTTACTTCTGACCCTTGAACTTATTTCATATGAGCTTTTTTCCAGACTTGTTTTGTCTATTTCAAAAGTTAAAAACTAATGTCATTGCTGTAACCACATTTTGGAACTTAATAGTACCACAAAATATAGAACATTGACAGCTACTGATTCACCTAAGTTACCTCCAAATTGTTCCAATGCACATCACCTAGTTAGTGACAACACGGTTTTCTTGGACGAAATTAAAGTTTTTGCAACAACACAGAGGAAATGGACATTGCTTCAAATAAAAACCATGTCCCAAGATTTAACATCCGTTTAATTCCTAGGCTTATGACTCTACTTCAAATAAATATAGGACATATTCTCATCTGTCAGCATTAGTAATAAAAAATGAAGTAAAAAAAAATGAAGTGAACTGGGCATCAATTTGTTTTTTATTCACTTAATTATTATTATTTTTTAAAGATTTTATTTATTTATTCATGAGAGACACACAGAGAGAGAGAGAGAGAGAGAGAGAGAGAGAGAGAGAGTGGCAGAGACACAGGCAGAGGGAGAAGCAGGCTCCATGCAGGGAGCCCGATGCGGGACTCAATCCTGGGACTCCAGGATCACGGTCTGGGCCAAAGGCAGGCACTAAACCACTGAGCCACCCAGGGATTCCCTCACTTAACAATTATTAAGCAGCTACTATGTGCTTTGGAGATACAACAGTGAATAAGACTCAGTCCCTGTTCACCAGAAAAGGCACAGTAGAGTGACAGACAAAAGGAGATGTAACATCCCTCGAAAGTCCTGCATAGGGACACCTGGGTGGCTCAGGGGTTGAGCATCTGCCTTTGGCCCAGGGCGTGATCCCGGAGTCTTGGGATTGAGTCCCACATCGGGCTCCCTACGAGAAGCCTGCTTCTCCCTCTGCCTGTCTCTCTGTGTGTCTCTCATGAATAAATAAATAATATCTTAAAAATAAAAAAAAAAAAGAAGAAGAAGAAGAAGAAAGTCCTGCACAGACTACTTCCAGGGCATTCACCCCACAGATGGGAACTCTAACCATTCAGTTCATCTTTGGTTGAAAAGCAGAAAGGTGTATTGTAAAAAGCTCAAACTTTAGTGCTAAGAACCATGTTCTTATGCTGCCATTATTGTGTGGCCTTGGGCAAGTCCCTTAACATTAGAGCTACATTCCCTCTCTCAACAATAAACATTTGCCAAGTGCTTACAATATGTCTAGCCTCAGTTGCCTTGTCTTAAAATGAAACTGCCATACTTCTACCTCACAGGTAGAAGTATATGTAAATTGCCTAGATCAGTGCCTGGCACAAGGACACTGATAAATGACAGTTACTATTATCAATCAAATGCAAGGCACTGTGCTATATTCTGAGCCCACGAAGATAGGTAAGATAGGGTCCAGACTTAAAGGTATGCATGGTAGTGGGGAAGAGACAAGAGCAGGTGATTTCAGCATAATGCAGCATGTGCTATGATAGAGTGCTATATTTGGAAGCACTAAGGATGAGTTCCAAATCCCTAACACATAATGATTTTATTCAAACTCATTTCAAGGCTCCCATTCCCACAGAAAGGCTGTTTAGAATAAATCAAATAAGGAAATGATGTCTTCCCAAAATAGATCTGGCAAAAGAAAAAAAAAAAAGACAGCTAGTATGTATACCATTTTTGACACTCTAGAATTTTGGGGATCATAAAAGTTTGTTGATGGCCTTAGAATCTCTTAGCACATTCACTCAGCTCATGTGGGGAAACTCTAAGATATCAGAGGAAAAAACAGAATGCCCAAATGGTGACAATTAAAAGGATGCTACCTATGACGGCAGGAAACTATATCAACTGTGCTCTTATTCCTTCTGATGAGGTTAAGAACTTCCCTCACTGTCTCCAAAATACAAAAGACAATGTCTTGGTTTTTTTTTCTTTCTTTCTTTCTTCTTTTTTTTTTTACCTGAAGGGTATTCTGGTCAATGACCTGGAAAAGGGAGTGAGGCTTATTATCAAAAGATACAGGCCGGTGGAGAAGATTGCCACTGCCAAAAGCAACCCATCCTGGTTCCAGCTCCTCATTCCGGCAGTACACAAAACCTCTGCAGAGGAAAAAAAAAAAAAAAAAAAGGTATACAGGCTAAGAAGCCAGGCAGTGTTCAAAACCACACAATGAGCTACAACAGACAAACATTTTCCACCTAATTTTTAAAAATGACTAAGTATGCAAAATATTTAAAGAAGAGTAAATATTCTACATTAACTTTGAGACTGACAAACTACAACAAATATTAATTTTTCACAAAAAATTAAAGAGTAGAAAAAGTTGGGAAAAAGATCTAATTATATATATAATATATATATATATATATATATATATATATATAAGGTTTTCAAACTGTGGTTTCTTTTGGCAGCAATTCACAGATCTTAAACCCCAAATGCAAAACACTGCTAATCCAACGTGAAATCCAAGTACAAAAAGGCTTGACTAGAAAAATGTCCATTCATCAACATGGAGAAGTCACTAATATTACAGTAATTCCAATCATAGAGGAATTTCTGGCTAGAAACAATGACCTGAGGGCTACCAAGCTCTTTAGAGTCAAAACGAAGCCGAAATGCATTAACAGAACAAGAGTCTACTAATCCAAGAAAACCCAAATTACACGAAGTTGTTCAGACTTAGATAATAGTCAGTCTTGGCGAGGGATGGGGGGATGAGGGGTGGTATATGCATCCCAGGTGTCTTCTTCACAGAGATTTGTATAAGGAGGGAAATGTTCCAGCCAAATTATTCAGCAAGTTCCGTGCAACTGACCTGAGAGTACCATGTAATCCAGACCCCAATTTGCTTACTCCTCTTCCAACTGAGTTAGTAGTATACAGGTAAAGACCATCTGCCGTGAGACAGCGCCCCAAGTCAGCATCTGAAATAGTTTTTTCACAGGTAAATTATATATATGCTTTTTCTAATGAAATTATAAACGTGCTTTTTCTAGTGAAAAAGCCATTAGGAGATGGAGTGAGAGATAATCTCCCACTTCTAAATAAGTGCTTCAATGTCATTTCCAGGAAAGATGGCTCCAACCCCCAAATCAAACATCTAAAATGCATGTGGGATCAGGAACCAAGATCAGGGAAAGAGGTCAGAGAGTTAATAGCAGAACTTGGTTCTGCCTGCCAGAAGTTTTCTTCTTTTTTGAATAGGAAACATAGAGTCAAATTTTTACCTTCCTAATTCTAATCTGAAATGATTCGGACTATAGTACTTTCACTAATGATTCTATAGTTAAAAGGTGTGAACTTTTAAGAGCATTGGACACTTATTACTTGACCTTGGACCTTTTTGATCTTCAGTTTCTTCATCCATAAGATGAGGATAATATGTACCTCAAGAGTCGTCACTGTGATGGTTAAATGAGATAACACAAGAAAACATCCATATACTCTCTGGTACAAAAAAATGTTCCAGATAAATGGCAAATGACATTATACTGAAATACTAATGAAATACATGAAACTAAAATCTGCTTCTGTGGACTTCCCATCCAGCGACTGTTTCCCCTTAGCTATATCCTCAGCCAGCTAAAACAAACAGTATCACTCTGCAGAAAACAGTTTACTAATTTAACCTTCTAAAGAATCTGTCTTAAAAAGAGAGCTTATAAAACTTTCAGTATTTTCATAATCATTTCACTATGTTTATCTACTACTTGGCATATTAAAGGAAATGCACAACACAGCACTCATATTAGTAATGAGTATGCTGTTAAGAATTCAGTCTACTGGGATCCCTGGGTGGCGCAGCGGTTTGGCGCCTGCCTTTGGCCCAGGGCGTGATCCTGGAGACCCCGGATCGAATCCCGCGTCGGGCTCCCGGTGCATGGAGCCTGCTTCTCCCTCTGCCTGTGTCTCTGCCTCTCTCTCTCTCTCTCTCTCTCTCTCTCTCTCTCTCTATCATAAATAAATAAAAATTAAAAAAAAAAAAAGAATTCAGTCTACTGAGCGCCTGGGTGGTTCAGTCAGTTAAGCATCTGCTTTTGGCTCAGGTCATAAACCAGGGGTTCTGGGATGGAGTCCTGCATCAGGCTACCTGCTCAGCAGGAAGTCTGCTTCTTCCTCTCCCTGTGCTCCTCCCCCTCTGCTCATGCGCATGCACTCTCTCTCTTAAATAAATTTAATTTGACTTAATTTAAAAAAAAAAAAAGAATTCAGTTTGCTAATCCAAGACAACTAGAACTTGTAACTACTGATTTCTCAAAAAACACGTAAAGTGAGTAATCATTTTTAAAATATTGGGAAGCCTGGGTGGCTCAGCGGTTTAGCTCTGCCTTCAACCCAGGGTGTGATCCTGGAGTCCGGGAATCGAGTCCCACGTCAGGCTCCCTGCATGGAGCCTGCTTCTCCCTCTGCCTGTGTCTCTGACTCTCTCTCTCTCTGTGTCTCTCATGAATAAATAAATAAAATATTTAAAAATAATAATAAATAAAATAAAATATTAATTTCCCTCCTTAAAGATTTTAACCTGGAACATATAAATATCTGTTTATTCACCTCTCTTTAGATTGAGGCCAAGGCTTTCTGAGGAGGAGTCTGACACAGTGTGGTAGCTAAAGGGACAGATTAAACCAGACCGGCCTCAAGTTGATACCTTTTGAAGCTGAGTGACGAATACACAGGATTGACTAAAGCATTCTTTCAACTTCTATATCTGTCAAATGTTTCCATATTAAAAAATAAGATTATTTTTCTTGTAATAATTTAAAAAGTATTCTCAAGGTAGAAGCAAAATTAAAGGTACAAGAGAGTGAAAAACAAGTATATCAGCTTAATTCCATCATCCTCAGTAAGAAACTACTCCAAGGGAAATATTTAAGTAAAAATGAGAAAATAAAGGGAATTTGGTTTTATTTGAAAATGTCAATTTCAGCCTATAATATTTAAGAACTTTTTGGATATCACAAGCTTTTTGCTTCTCCCATGGACTCCAGTTGCATCATATCCAAAAGTCTTGCCTGCTCCTCTTATGAGCTCACATGACTATTTGTTACAACAGTGAACATGAACAAGACACAGGCCCCGGGATGAAAGGTGCACAGGGCTCCTGCTGCTTATACTGCACCCCTTGTCCTTCTGGTTGCCCCAGAAGTCTGCCCCCATCAAAGGTTCTATATATATATATATGTGCTGCCGAAGGGAGCACTCCATCATAAATGAAAGGGTGAGTAGTAGAGTAGGCTCTGAATCCCATACCTAATTAACATCAATTTCTTAGAGATTCACTTTAAGTCTTTCAGTAAGAAAACTGAATATTTTAAAAACAATTTCCTAAGGTGTTTTAAATTTCTATTTCATCAGTTATGTAATGTTTAATGATACAATCATAATAACAATTACAACAACAAACAGCTTTGAGAGCAGGGTGGACTCCTGGCAAGCCTGTGACTCCACAGGTGGGAGTGGCAGTGCACACACTGCCTAGAAGTGGCTGGCCTACCATGCCACAGAACCATTCGGTACATCTACCACGCACAAAATGGAGAGGCCTCCTTCATCCCACAAGTCAGGCAAATGAAAGTCAATTAAGAGAGTTTCTGCCATTTTCACAGAAATCAGAATAAACAGATATGGAATACATGTGAAAGTGTAAAAACACTTTAATCCAACCCATTTTATTAAAGGAGATCTTAATTCATGCTCCTTTGAAAAATTCCTTCCTCTCTCTCTCTGTTTTTTTTTTTTGTTGTTGTTGTTTTTGTTGTTTTTTTTTTTTTTGCGCTTTTAGGATGGGAAGGTTCATCAAAACACCCCCTGATAAATTACTAAAGGAAACAGCAAACAGCATCAGGCTCAGGTGATGCAAGATCCTGATATTCTGTTCACAGATATAAAAATTCAACTTGAGGCTCCCATGCTCAAACACAAATACCCAGGAGTCAACTTAAGTAATTCTGCCTCCTTGGCTAAAGTATATGGATGATACTGTTTTCTTGCGATAGCAAAACCTATCCATTTTCTTACCTCACTGAGTATCAGCTTTTACACTTTTACTGATAAAGCAGACAATGAACATACTGTATAGGAACCTAGTGCTTTTAATTAAAAGGAACACAGTTCTATCAAAATCATTTGCCACAACGATCTAAAACCACTCTCTTCACATCTTAATTTCAATCACAGGAGCAAAAACCCTTACATTACCTTTATTTTCAGAACTGGAGCCAGTGTTGCTATCTGGTGCAGGTAACATGTCTTCATACCCCCATGATACTATGTGTTTGCCACCAAGCAAACAGGAGGGGGATCCAGGCCCCCCTTCCAAAAGTAACAGCCTAAAATTGGGGAGATGGGAGAATCATAAAGACACTAAGATTATCCATTTCAGCAAGAAAATGAAAGTAATCTTACAGAGCAGACAACTAAAATAGGTTTATACAAATATATATCTGGAAAAAATATTTGTGTTTTCAAATTTAAAAATTACAAAGCAGTACTTATAGAAATGTTATAATAAAAGTACAGCTATGTGTACAATGTATAGGTTTTATATATACATTTATATATACATGGTGTGAGGGTAGGATATGAAATGAGGAGGCACTTATATCAAAACATTAGGAGTGGTTATCTTTGGATAATGAGATTATGAATGACTTTCAGTTTCTGCTTTACACCTTAACATATCTTAAAATCTGTAATAAGAATTCATTATAAGCTATTACATTTTTGTAAATACCCACAAAATAAAAAATGAGAATCAGCATGCCCTAGGAACACTTGCAAAGAAGGAAAGATGAGATAAAAATTTTAAGATGAATATACTTATTTTAAAATACGAATTATTCATTGATAAGGTTAGCAATCTCTTATTAAAATTTTATTACACACAAATCTCCCTTATGTGGGGAGGAGGGGGGCTAAGGATCCAAAGTGATAGCTTACCTATATAGTACATCAGCTACAGGCAAGGACCCCAGATCAGTCTGTTTCTGTAACAGATGGACCGTATGGACAAAAGTTTTCAACGAGCCTCTAAAAATAAAAGGAGGGAACAGAAAATCGTGAAAATTAAAAAAATTAACAACATGATTCATCTTATTAACCATGTGAGAGGGTGCCCAAAGGGGTCTATCTGCTTCTGGCGGTCAGAAGACTGTTGTACCAAATATACTAGATTCTTACAGATTACCACTGGCTCATACAAAAAAGTCACTATGTGAGTGGCACCAGTTATGCCAATTAGGATGTTCTCCTTGCATATGTAAAGGTAAACAATTTTCTCCCCAAAATAAAAGTTCAAAACCTAAAGCTCAAACACAAAGAAACATGTGGCTATTATGCTTGAGAACTGTTTCATAAAGTCCTTCTCTAGTCTAGAGGAGAGATTTTATAGAAGGGGGCTATACTTAAAGTCTGACAGTGTTTCCAGGCTTTGTTTTTAAATATCTTTAAGTTCATCCATTTCTTTTTTTTTTTTTAAGATTTTATTTATTTGAGAGAGAGAGAGAGAACATACAATGGGATGGGGGAGCGGGAGAGTGGGAGAGAGGGAGAGAGAAGCAAACTCCCTACTGAGCAGAAAGCCAGACACAGGGCCTGATCCCAGGACCCGGAGATCACGATCCAAGCCGAATACAGACGGCTGAGTCACCCAGGTGCCCCTCAGTTCATCCATTTCACATAACATCTCCGCAAACCCCATCACATTAAATATGACTGCAAAGGAATATTTTCAAATGATATATATATTTTTTATTAAGTAAAGTCTACCCCCAAAGTGGGGCTCGAACTGATGAGCCAGAGATCAAGAGTTGCAAGCTCTACCGACTGAGCCAGTCAGGTCCCCTCAAATAATAAGTATTTTGTGTTTAGAGGTGTTCCTTCTGCTCCCTTGCTGTGAAGCATGTGACTATAATGCTCACAGAGCTTATCATTACCCAATTTCCTTTTGGTTCTCAAGGCTCAAGACTCTGAGAAATCTAGAATATGGTCAACAGGATCTTTTTTTTTTTTTAAGATTTTATTTATTTATTCATGAGAGACACAGAGAGAGAGAGGGCAGAGAGAGAAGCAGGCTCTATGCAGGGAGCCGATCAGATGCAGGGAGCTGATCAGCTTGGCAGGGCTTAGATCAGATGGGGGCTTAGGAGCCATAGGAGGACTACATTTTATTATGAAAGCATGATTCAGTCTGGTAGGTAATAATACTTCATAGTTGGTTTAATGGTCTTAAATGTTTCAGTGTGCTTTAGCCCCTTTATTTTAACCTCACTGCATGCCCGGGAGACAGCCCTGTTGGACAGATGAAGAAGCAGAAATCCATAGGAATTAGATGACAGGGTTGAGATGGGGCAGTTGGTGAGTGGCCCAACTCTCAACTTGAGCTTTTTAGACCCTATCTGCTGCCTTCCTGCTTTATATTATTCTTTAGTTTTGATTTTTTGAACACCAGAGATAGTGAAAGGGGCAATTAAGTGGACTTTAAGCTAACTCAGTCCAGTGTCAGATCTTCCATTTCTTTTGGGGTTGAGCCATATGATGATACCTAGCAGTGAAAGCCTTGGCTGGGAGAATGCAGTGTTCCAAAGTCTGCCTATCTGAAATAGGTGATCATGTAGTTCATAAAATGTTCTGTGGTGATTTATACCTGGGATCTGGCCAGGTAAGTCCTGTGCATTTTAAAAGCACCTTCTTTAAAGACTTCTAACTCTGGGAAATGAACTAGGGGTGGTGGAAGGGGAGGAGGGTGGGGGGTGGGGGTGAATGGGTGACGGGCACGGAGGGGGACACTTGACGGGATGAGCACTGGGTGTTATTCTGTATGTTGGTAAATTGAACACCAATAAAAATTAATTTATAAAAATAAATAAATAAATAAAAGCACCTTCTTTTAGATCTTGTTGACCAGGGACACCTGGGTGGCTCAGTGGTTGAGCTCTGCCTTTGGCTCAGGGTATGATCCTGGGTTCTAGGATCGAGTTCTACATCAGGCTCCCCATGGGGAGTTTTAAAAAAAAAAAAAATCGGTTGAACAAAAAATATTGTTATTCCCTCTGCTCGTGGTCTCACTCTTTAAATTTTTTTTTAAATATTTTACTTATTTATTCACAAGAGACACAGAGAGAGAGGCAGACACATAGGCAGAGGGAGAAGCAGACTCCCCATGGGGAGCCTGATGCGGGACTCAATCCCAGGACCCCAGGATCACGACTTGAGCCACCCAGGTATCCCTCTTTAAAATATTTTTTTTTAATTTCTTTTTTTTTTTTTTAATTTTTTGTTTTATTTATTTATGATAGGCACACAGTGAGAGAGAGAGGCAGAGACACAGGCAAGGGGGAGAAGCAGGCTCCATACACCGGGAGCCCGACGTGGGACTCGATCCGGGGTCTCCAGGATCGCGCCCTGGGCCAAAGGCAGGCGCCAAACCGCTGCGCCACCCAGGGATCCCTAAAATATTTTTTTTAAATTGTTTTTGGTAAATTTTCTCAAAATGGGATTTTTTTTTAAGATTTTATTTATTTATTCATAGAGACACACACAGAGAGAGAGAGAGAGAGGCAGAGACACAGGCAGTGGGAGAAGCAGGCTCCATGCAGGGAGCCCAATGTGGGACTCGATTCCAGGTCTCCAGGATCACACCCAGGCTGCAGGCAGTGCCAAACTGCTGCGCCACCAGGGCTGCCCTCAAAATGGGATTTTTAAAAGATTTATTTATCTATTTGAGAGAGAGAGAGAGAACGTGAGCATATGCATGGGTGGAGGGGAGAGGGAGAGTCTCAAGCAGACTCCTCACTAAGTAAGCATGGAGCCCGACATGGGGTTTCATTCCATGACCCTAAGATCATGACTTGAGCCAAAAATCAAGAGTCAGGCAATTAACCAAATGAGCTACCCAGGTGAGCTGAAAATTTGCTTTTAGATAGGATTATCCTTAGACAGTTTTGGAATGTCGATCAGGTCATGACCTGAGCCAAAAATCAAGAGTCAGATGCCCAAGCAACTCAGCCACGAAGGCACCCCTCCAAAATGGGATTTTTATATTAACAACAAATCTATTTAGGGCTTGAAATGGTCTTCTACAAATGCAAAATATCAATCCAATATAAAGCCTTTCCAGGAAAACTAATTTCGGTGCTACACAGTAGGGACTCCAGAGTTAAGCTCATGTCAGGATTTCCACAATCTTCAGTCTTCAGAGATCTAAAACTAGGCTATGACAGTTTGCTCAGGGCAAAGAAACTGACAATAAATACTGGTGCCATTTTGCCTTAAGAAAGCCTGAGATTCAACCATTTGAAGGTCAACTTTGAAACCATAAAAATAAGGGAAAAAGTAGTCTTATAACCAAGAACTTCATAATCCTCCAAGAAGAATTTTCCCACATACGCTTTGCTAAAAAAAAAAGAAGAAAAGAGAAGAAGAAGAAGAACAAGAAGAAGAAGAAGAAGAAGAAGAAAGAAGAACTCAAAAGAAAATTCTGAAGGGAATAGGACAGATTAGTGACATTAATTAGTGACAGTAATCTGTCAGACCATGGTCCTAATTGGTCTCTAAACAACTAGCTTAGAGGAAAGTAAGGGCAGTGAACCTTTTTCCTCACAAAAAAATGTGCCAATGATCTATACAGGTTACTGGGCAGGAGAATATAGAGACCCTCTCCTGTAAAAAACACTCCAACATTTCCTATTGCTAGTAGTAGATCAATAACATCTGCTTACACCAAAGGATGGCACACTATTAAATACAGACATATACAGAGAGATATTTCAGTTAAATTAATGGAGACAAGCATCATGGTCAAGAAATATAATTTGTGACCAAGTCTGTGTGACTGAGTCTAGGAAATAACCCACTCACTTGCTGATACACCCATGAAATAAATTAAAAGCTCTACAAACTGGGCAGCCTGGGTGGCTCAGCGGTTTAGCGCCAGGTTCGGCCCAGGTCATGGTCCTGGAGACCCGGGATTGAGTCCCACGTCGGGCTCCCTGCATGGAGCCTGCTTCTCCCTCTGCCTGTGTCTCTGCCTCTCTCTCTCTCTCTGTATCTCTCATGAATAAATAAATGAAATTAAAAAAAAAAAAAGCTCTACAATCTTTCTGACGGTCCTTCCAGGATAAATACAGATAGGCCATCCTCCATAAACTACTGGATGTAAAGCACTAATCATCTAGGGGGGTGAGTAGATAACAGTCAAGGGTTGGCTCTCCCTTTTAAGGTGTTTTAGCTTTATCACAGGATGGCAGACAGCAAATACTTGAACTTAGGCTCCAGCTCAGGTTCCTGGTGCCAAGCTCTGGTGAAAGTATCTTATGTACTGCTGATGTGGTGAAATTCAGTACTGCCAACAAAGGACTACTGATGTTAAGACTTCCATCACATATGCTTGCCTCTCACTCACTCACTCACTCACTCACCCCTGGCACCAGCGGCCACGAGGTCACTAATGAGGGCTTTTGATGGTCCTTACCTGGCACATGCCAAAGCCACCAGAGCAGCAGCAGCATTTTCTTTTTGTTTATGTGGGATGTGTCGGCCTGTGTCAGAAGTGTCCTCTAGCCAAGAGCACAGCAAAGTTTCAATTCCATTGAGACAGTCAGCAGGCTCCTTGGTCAGGCTCAAAGGCTGGCAGTCGCGAAGGCAGTTCAATAGCACCTCAGCAGTTATGTTACAAAGAGAGGGGTCCGTTCTGCTCTGGGACTGAATGAGGGGGAAGACCAGCAGGAGCCCCATCCGAGATGTGAAGGGAGCTTGCTCGGGTTGCTGCAACAAGCCCTGGCGTTTGAGCAGAGCCAATGTTTCTTCATCACCCGAACTTTCTCTCTCATGCTGTTCTTCCAAGGCCAGCTGGCGCTGGGCATTCCATAGTCCTCGCAAGGCATTCAGGCGGTATTCTAGCAGGCGGGCATAGGCATTGCTCTGATTTCCACAAACAGAGCGCAAACGTTCAGCTAATTCCGTTGGGTTCTTGGTCTCAAATGTTAAAATCTAAGGGAAGAAACGATAAAGAAGTTGGGACGTACTGTTTTCACCATGGCTTTCATCTATAGAAGCAAATATGTCCAATGGTATCTAAAAATAGTCCACATAAATCATCTTAATTGTAACCCAATACGAAAAAATGTGCTGTAAAGCCAGGTATTTGCTGATGGAGATATTTTTTCAATGGCATTTCTGCTAGTGTTCCAGTTAAAAGTAATATCAGACCTAATTCAAAGAACCGAAATCATGAAAACAGTTAAGTATTGAAGTCAAAAGTTAATTCAAGTAATTTTTTTTTTTTTAGAAAACTGAGGTACAGGTCTTTATTAAATGCTCTTAGGTTATAATGTAAGTCTCTACCTCCCATTACCAGGTGGATTAGAAGTGAAAAGAACAAAATTTTATCCTCAGAATCAAATATACCTACCCATAAATGATTGATATTGTATTGTTCTTAAATTTTGAAGAACACTCCATTCTTACTACTGCTAATCCATTATTTCAACTGGTGACATGGTATAGATTTATTCAGTTCATATTGATACAAGAATCATACTATTTTCTTGCCAAAATATACAATTAATTACCAGGAGGCCTCTAGATTTTCAGCAGTTAGGGGAATAAAACCATTAAATCCTTAACGAAAAGAAAGGAACTAGCTATCAAGATAGAGAATTTAACTTTATGATGCAAAAAGTTTATGCATATAACCTCAACTAGGTTAAAATGAACAGACTATTATAAACAACAAAGGAGGGCACTCTGGGGGCAAGCACAATGAAACAGACTATCAGGCGCCAAAGGTATCTGGTTCTCAGTAGACCAGAAAGTCAGGGTGAGAAGAGGTTTGAAATAAAAGCAAAGAAAATTCTGTCTTGACACTGGCACTGACATTTTAAAAGGTTATAGATCACTTTATTTCTCTCAGAAACCTGCAAAATACTTTTACTACCTCAAGTTTTGCCCTTAAAAACTGTTAGCCCGATAAAATAACAAAAACTTGCAGAACAATGTAAACACTGTAACTGCCTCGCTTAGCTATACACCAAGTCACTGAACTGAAAAAATGTTCAGGTTAAACAACAAGTTCTGGGGCACCTGGCTGGCTCGGTCCATAGGGCAGGTGACTTGATCTCAGGGTTGTAAGATCAAGCCCCATGTCGGGTGTGGAGCCTACTTAAAATAAGTAATTCCAATTCAAACAATGTACTTTATTTATTTGAAAAAAATGTTCATAGTGTTTCCAAAAAAGGTGAGCAATCTGAACTTCAGTGCCAGCCTATCAGATCAAAATTAACATCCAAATGCCTTAAGATTTCAAACTTAGCAACAAGAAGGAATACTGATACACGCAACTTCAACGAATTTCAATGACACGGAGTTGAGTGAAAGCAGCCAATTTCAAAAGGCTGCATCTGTAGGATTCCATTCATAGGACTTTCTGTAAAAAATAGGAGAAAACTATAGTGATCTAGAAGAGATCAGTGATTGTCAGAGGTTAGGGGAATAGGCAGGGAATGAAGAAGTTTTTTGTAATAAAGAAATTATTCTATATTCTGGTGGTAGTGGTGGTGATGGGGATTAAATCCATATGTGTGCTAAATTCAGAGAACAGTACATCCCCTAAAAAAAGTCAATTTAACTGTATGATGATTTTTTTTAAGATTTTATTTATTTATTCATGAGAGACACAGAGAGAGACAGACATAGAGGCAGAGGGAGAAGTAGGCTCCATGCAGGGAGCCCGACGCAGGACTCCATCCCAGGACTCCAGGATCACATCCCGAGCCAAAGGCAGACGCTCAAGGGCTGAGCCACCCAGGCGTCCCTGTATAACGATTTTTAAACAAAAGGAAAAAAGTTCCAACCAAGCTATATCTGTGCTCAGCTAGGTATCATGGGTAAAGCTATATTGCAAGTCATATTAAAATTAATAACTAGGGTAATTTTTAGTTAGTTTTAATACAACAGGAACAATGATTAAATATCTTTCACCATCAAGTCATTCCAAACTATATTTTCCTACCTTTTGACTGAATTCAAACACAAATCACCCTTTTGATTATTTTTCACATCACAGCAGATAAACTAACCAGAGTTCAAAAAAAAAAAAAAAAAAAAAGAGGGATCCCTGGGTGGCACAGCGGTTTGGCGCCTGCCTTTGGCCCAGAGCATGATCCTGGAGACCCGGGATCAAATCCCACGTCGGGCTCCCAGTGCATGGAGCCTGCTTCTCCCTCTGCCTATGTCTCTGCCTCTCTCTCTGTGTGTGTGTGTGACTATCATAAATAAATAAAAAATTAAAAAAAAAGATCACATTTCAAGGGCAATCATCTACCTTGAAGCTGTAATCAATATCCAAGGAAGCGAGACTGCCTTTTTTTTTCCTTTTAGGATCTCCCCTCAAAAACCAGCCTCTACCATTAAAATCAACAAAGAGTGAGATGTTTTTCAATGTTGCTAAAAAAAAAAAAAAAAAATCACAAAACCTTAAGTTTGTCTTCCCAGTTATGACACCTAAAACAAAATTTGTTTTTTAAGAGCATTCCAATATTGGTTTTGTGATTTCCACCCAATACAACTCCTTGATATAAAGTACATATGAAATATATTTGTGTGGTACATTGATCATCTACTTAGGTTATATGCAATAACTACTAAAAATTTAATACAGACTTTTATTAGACCCAAGAATCAAAGAACAACCCAGTAACATTAAACCCACCTATTTCCTTTTATTATCAATCTTAAAGATAAGTGGTTCTAAAATGTGATATTTTATGGTTCATAAAATGATGTTTATGACATCATTAAGACTAGCTGAAAAAATAACTATAAAATACCTCACTTTTCTAGTGATTCTATTTTTATAAGTAATTCACTTATATTCTGGCATTCCACTTGAAAGACAAATATTCTGAAAGGATCTGAGTTATAATTAACCAAATATTATATGATATACACACTTAAGTGACTTACGTTTATTGATTTAGCAGTATCTAAGGCACATTATGCTTTCAGAAATCCATTAGACTACTCAGCATTATCCATTCCAACGGCCCCTCGTGAAAATTAAGAATTGTGTGCTACACTGCTGTTTTTCAGAATTCTAAGTTTGAAGGTCATGGCTGAAAATCATGTCATAAAGACATCATACCTTTGAGTTTTAGTACATCAGCTATAAAGGATCTATTCTGGTACTTATGAATATTAAATGATTTGTCTCAGATCCTCATATAAAACCACTGCTCTCAGTAACTGCTGTTTAAGAAGATAAAAAGACCAGAATGTTATTAGAAAATGAGTATTTTTCTCTTTAAAAAGGGGGAAAGCTATTTAAGCAACAGGGAAGATCCCCGTCCTCCTTAATCAGAAGGAGGGCTCACTGCCTGTACTTCAGTGATAATGAAGTCACCCAATGAAGGGAATGACTTTCAAAGCAACCTGTAGCCTTAATTTTTATCATACTTGACATACAAGTTTAAGCTAAGACAACAATAATCATCCTGGAAAGCCTAAAGAAGGTAGGCAAAATATTCTTTGCCAACCAAATCTGACTTTCAACAAAACTACAATATTTGATGTAAGAGCAATTACAGAGGATCAGCTCATTTCAGCCCATTTCTTTCTATTTTCCATGTGGAAGAATACAAGAGCATGCACCTGCCAGTCATGTGAAATGTGAAATGTCAACATGTATTTCTTTTTTTTTCTTTTTTCTGTGTGTGTGTGTGTGTGTGTGTGTGTGTGTATGTCAACATGTATTGCAAGTAACTGCAATAGTGAGAAAAAGCACAGAGGGGCTTTTGAAGTAATAGAGAATGTTACATAAAAAGGAATTAACTAAACCAGTAATTAACAGAAAAGATACTGCATGAACTACAGTATTCCTCCAAATGTAAATATCAATTTCACCATTCAGAAAAGAGAAGTCTCTAACAGGGTTAAAAAATTAAAAGATAGGGCAGCCCCGGTGGCGCAGCGGTTTGGCGCCGCCTGCAGCCTGGGGTGTGATCCTGGAGACCTGGGATCGAGTCCCACATCGGGCTCCGTGCATGGAGCCTGCTTCTCCCTCTCCCTCTGCCTGTGTCTCTGCCTCTCTCTCTGTGTCTATGAATAAATAAATAAAATCTTTAAAAAAAAGAAATTAAAAGATATATTAGAGTCTACCTCTGAAAGAACAGAAAGTAACCCCTTTCTAAGAACTTAACCTAAAAAAGTAAATGTGCAGAAATATTTGAAGTTTTATTATAATGGAAAAAGAAGAAATAATCTCAACACCTAAAAAAGAAGTGTTCGGGGCACCTGGCTGGCTTGATCAGTACAATGTGTTACTCTTGATCTTGGGGTTGTGAGTTCAAGCCCCAGTTTGGGTGTAGAGATTACTTTAAAAAATAAAATCTTAAAAAATAAAAATTAAAAGGGAAGTGTTCAATTAAAACATATGACAATGGGGATCCCTGGGTGGCGCAGCGGTTTGGCGCCTGCCTTTGGCCCAGGGTGTGATCCTGGAGACCCGGGATCGAATCCCACATCGGGCTCCCGGTGCATGGAGCCTGCTTCTCCCTCTGCCTGTGTCTCTGCCTCTCTCTCTCTCTCTCTCTGTGACTATCATAAACAAATAAAAAAAAATTAAAAAAAAAACATATGACAATGGAATATTATGCAATAACTTAAAAATTTTAAAACCAAACCAAAAGCAGAAAAATCATATATGTTCTATAAATAGGACTATGTGAAACATGTTTGTTCAATTTGAAATGTCATTAGTATTTGTGGTAATAGAAACATGGATTTTTCTCTATTTAAAAAAAGAAACAGTGATGACAAGTTAAATAGTTCATATTTAAGCAATCATAACTAGAGGGGATATTTTTCAAAAGCAAACACTATCTTTAAATAACTGGTAGTCAAACAAATGGTGACACAATTGGGACGCCTAGGTGGCCCAGCGGTTGAGCGTCTGCCTTTGGCTCTATTTGTGATCCCAGGGTCCTGGGATGGAG